ACTGTAGCTTAATATCGCGTCCACTGTAAATACAAATTCGTTTGTATGGGAAACAATTAATGGCTACCTTAAAAGTTTGGAGAATTGAAAGACACTCGTCCATCTGTTTGTGAAATCACCTATCATTTTCACATTCATCTCATTTTGTGCCAGCTCTGTGTCGCGTTTCGACCTTCCGAATTACTTCCTCAGTAAAAAATATTTTTTATTCTATTGGTAGATTCATATATATGTACGGTGAGGGAACGAAAGCAAACGTGTGATTGTGAGAAATGTTTCGACTTGAAGGCACACTGGAAATCTGCTTGGTTTGGTTGATTTTGTTTCGCAGTATATCAACCTGTTATGATGTTGATTTGGGGTTAATAAAGACAAACGCCAAATAACACGTAACAATAAAAAGGGGTTTATTCGGTTGGTAAGTAGGTACAGAAATCGCCTGAGTAGTCTATAACTAGCTCAGCCAAGAACTTCTCCGACTCTGTCTGTCTTTTGACATGCCACTATTTAACGTCTTTGTTTGTAGACAAGTTCACCTTCAAGAGGGATGGTAGGTTTCCTACACAACACAACCTCTATGGGTTATTTAATACCGAAATCTAAATATTTTGTGCGCAAATTTATGCCTCCATGCCATATAATGCTCTCTCTCTCTCTCTCTCTCTCCCAGGAACTATAACTAAGGTCTGCTCAGCATAGTAGCAGTATAAACGACAGGTGGGCTATGTGGGTGTTAAGCAAACACAAATGTACCTGAGTAGACATCTGCAACAAGGATTGGCTAACCGCCCTAGAAGACTGGCAAACTCGAATACGAGCGACTAGGCATTATACACCATGGTTGTTCGTCCACTTGTCTATGGATATTATTCTTCCATTTGGTATCAATAAGAAAACATTTCCACGATATTTATTCCCTGTTTCCAAACTTGTGTTGTTTTCATCCAATAATAATATCAAATGATACTTTAATTTTAAATTCTTGGAGATTTCCCATTTAAAAATGTTCGGTTTTCGAATCAGTAAAAATTATAAACTATAAACACTTTCTTACCACCATTTAATTTAATAATTTATCTTACCCCATTTCATTTAATAGGCCATTTTACCCCATTTCATTTAATAGGCCATTTTACCCCATTTCATTTAATGGTCCATCTAATCCCATTTCCTTTCATGGTCCATCTTACCTCATTTTATTTAATGGTTCATCTTATCACATAACAGTTTATCTTATTTCATTTCAGTTCATTGTCCATCTTTAATGGTTCATTTTATCTATTTCATTTCATGGTCCATCTTACCCCATTTTATTTAATGGTTTATCTTATCACATTTCATTTAACAGTTCATCTTATTTCATTTCAGTTCATTGTCCATCTTTAATGGTTCATTTTATCCATTTCATTTCATGGTCCATCTTACCCCATTTAATTTTACGATCTATCTTACCCCATTTGCCACTCATTGTGAATATTTACAAAATTCACCGCAGGAACATTGGCATATCCTTTCGATCAACTTAATTTTTTATCTGTATGCGGAAGATGAGAAATAAACGAGAAGTGGTACTAACTCTTCCAGGGAATTTTGTTCTTGTTTTTTGTTTAGTTTAGTTTTTCCATGTGTTATATTACTGTAAGAAATTTGATAGTTTTGGCCTAGTAGCCTACCACGATTAGGACTACGGGGTTACGGAGGGTTGATAGAATGATCTCTGTAAAAATAATATTCCCAGAGTAAGCCTAAATTCCTGTTTAATCCTTTAATATGTGATTCTATTTTGAAAATGTATTTTAAATCGGTCTTCTGTCGTTCTTGTTCGTACTTAAATGAAGACGCAAAAGTAGAGCATCTGAAGTTATCAATGCTGCGCTCCAGTTGGTTGAAATGTGCAGCGACGGAAAATTGGTGTTGTTGTCTTTGATGGGTTTTTTAACCGAAGACAAAATTCCATACCTGTTTCTTCGCCATAATTCCCCTTTTTGCCTGCTCCTTCGATATAATTCCGTTTTTGAATTTCGTTATTATATATATATATATATATATATATATATATATATATATATATATATAGAATAGTATCCATCTTTAATGCAAAAACACGTAGTTTTGACTTTCACTATAACCTGAAGATACCAAACTAAAACACAAAAGCGAAACGTATTGTCAGTAAAAGCATTTTCCCCATTGTCTCTCTCTCTCCTCTCTCTCTCTCTCTCTCTATCTCTCTCTCTCTCTCTCTATATATATATATATATATATATATATATATATATATATATTATTACGCTCTATCTCTGATATTGAGCACTCTACTCCATAAATATAGCACACCTCAGAATATATTTCTTCATATATATATATATATATATATATATATATATATATATATATATATGATGATAACGATGTAGTTTTTAGGTATGGCATATTCATGGATAAAAGTGCTCAGTATCAGGGATAGAGCGTATGCAAATATAAAATTGTAGCCTGAGGTCAACACCGTGCGGCGGTAATCTGTTTCATGCTTGAATGTAATCTTCAGGCCATGTGGGTTGTGCTATGGTTCAATGATTATTTCTCATTATTAATTTTATTTCGATAATTATTTATACTCAATAACCTCCAGGATAATTTGCAAATATAATTGATACCGCCTACCCAATAACCGTTAGGAATAATCCAGTAGACCTTCTAGCCATAATGCACCATTGACCAGCCTATATAGCTCAGCCAAAAGACAACACATATAGCCCGCATATTGCGTTCAAGCATGAAACAGAATGTCGCAGCTCGGTGTTGTCCTCAGGGTCCATATATATATATATATATATATATATATATATATATATATATATATATATATAAAGAGAAAAGGTAAACGTTTTTGGTTATAATGTGGATTTGTTTTAGTAGATATATATTACATTTTAATCTTCATATTTCTGCTACACGGGTTTCCAGTCTCGTGACCTTCTTCAGGAAAATAAAAGGAATACATTTTTAAAAGGAATATGTTTTCTTTATATTCATTTAATGTCTCAATGTTCGTTTTCTGCATTTCTTAGTGAGCCTTGAACTTCTTTCTGGACTGTGGGCAAAAGTCAATTTATGCCTAAGTGTTAATAAAACCTTTAAGTTTCGTATGAGAGCTGGTGATAATAGATGTGTTGATGAGAGATGTCTTCCTATCCCTGTTAGCCTACATATGTAAATTTTCCCCCATATACTGTCTTATAATAAGGAATCAGCATACACATATATACACATGTATATACGCATACACATATACATAGACACCCACACACATATACATACATTCTTCCTGTGTATAACTTTTTCTTCCTGTATATATTATATATATTCCCTGGGTGGTAACCACAATTTCCAGTTTTATATATATATATTATATATATATATATATATATATATATATATATATATATATATATATATATATAATAGAATTATCTACGGTTTTAATGTGCGTGATACATGACTGACCAATGAGAATCGACCCCAACGAAATTTAAAATACCGAAGTTATGTGTTTTTGTCTGTTTGCTCTCAATCTCTAACGAAGCTTTTAATAACGGTGAAACATGTTGGATTGTTGGATTGATAAACCTTTCCTATTTCTTCTTTATCTTCTCATATATATATATATATATATATATATATATATATATATATATATATATATATATATATATATATATATAAAAAACCATTTGGCAAGAACGGGGTCAGACCAGAGGACGGATATTTTAAGAAAGTTCTCAATACACTATTCTAAAAATTAAACATTTACAGCGGATATTAATATTGTTAAAAGATTGAAAAAAAAAAACACTGTTAACCCCACCAGAGTTTTAACCTTAATGTAAATTTATCAAAACCACCTAATGAGACCGTAACGTTGAAACCGGGGTCGTGTTAACGGATAATTTTTTCAATCTTTTAATTTTATATATATATATATATATATATATATATATATATATATATATATATATATATATATAAACTAAGAACGTCTTTTGAGCATTCGTTCTCTTTGAACACTTAAGAGAAATTTTCAAGGAAATAAATACATGCTAAATCAAAAAAGTGATTTTGGTCATCTACATTCCAAACTTGTTCAGTAATCTCAGTCAAAGTCAGCGAGAAAGGGGACTATAAAAATAGCGGACGAAATGGCGTTCATGTCACTCAACCCCCAGCCGTAATAGCTTATGGCTTTTTACTTGCAACTGTTGAATATTTCATCACAGATCGGAGTTGGAAAGTAGAAAGCCGCGTTTAATATAAATCAAACTCCTAGGTAATAATAGTATATATCCACGTAACGAGTGAATTCTTTACTACCCACGTGAGAGGAAAAACAAGACGAATTCTAAAAAGCCATTACTAATTCATTTTCTTTTGGGACATTATTTTTTTTTTTTTTTTGTCCAGAAAAGTCCTGACTTGAAACTTCATAACAGATAATCTCACCAGCCTGACCCGTATTTAAGATGAGAATACCAAGTATAGAAAAGGAGCTCTTACCAGTCCCGGATTAACCTAGTAGTAAATATAGCAAATGCTTAGCTTCCCCTTTCTTGTGCCTCCTCTCTGTATCTCTCTGTCCTTCGTCGCTCAATCTCTCTCTCTCTCTCTCTCTCTTTAACACTCCTCTTATCTCTCTCTCTCTCTCTATTCCTCGTGACATTCTGAACTGACCCCCTATCGCTATCTCTAACTTTCTCTTTCTTGTGCTCTCTCCTCGAATCTCTCTGAGCTTCGTCCATTTCTTTCTCTCTCCCTTTCTTTCTTGTGATATTTTAACTTACCCCTCCCTCACTATCTCTTTTATCTTTCTCTTACTTGCACCCTATCCCCTGTACTTCGTTCCCCTCTCTCTCTCCTTCTCTCTCTCTCTCTCTCTCTCTCTTTAATATTTCTCGTATCTCTCTCTTTCTTTATCATAACACTCTAACCTGCCCTCTTTCGCTATGTCTCTTATCATTCTCTTTTTTGCGCCCTATCCCTCGTATCTCTCTTGCACTTCTTCCACTACTTACCACTCTTTCGATCTCTCTCACTCTCTCTCTTTCTTTCTTTCCTCCATCTCGCATCCTTCTTGTCGGCTTTTGTCTTTCTCTCTAGTTCAATCCCTCTCTTTTTTTATATTCTCTTTCTCTTTCTCTCTCAAGTCCTGATCTTAACGGACGACGACTCTCGATCCATAATAGAAGTTATAAAGTGAATCTACCACCAATTTGTCGTCAAGGCATCGTTATTAGCTCAGAGTGAGACTAAGCATTTCCTGATGTCTACGGTTTCTTACCGTTGTATAACAGGTAAATCACCTTGAAAGAGTTAAATTCTATACCCTAGTCCAGAGCTGGGCAAGTTGTTTTTTTCCATGGAGTGCCGCATCCTTTTTGCCCGTGTACAAAGTGAACCTTATCCCAACAACTCTAGAATATAAATAACAATCATCTATGCACGCGATATTGACACATTTGATTGCTTATTAGAAACAGTTTATGAACAGACTGCACAGACGTTTGAGAAATTAGTTTAATAATTAATACATCTGCTACGGTGAAGTAATGGATAGCGGTTCGGATTGATTCCAGTCGAATCTATTACATTCACTTACGTGCCAATACCATTCTCTTCTTTCCCCACCCCCACCAGGACAGACGGGGCTCTAGAGCCTTGGATGGCAACTTATATACTGCAGAAAGAAATGGCAACATACTGCGGGAAAAAAATCTGCCTCGTTAGTCATGTATCGAAAAATACATGATCGCCTAAGCGTCTATCACGCATGGCACATAACTGACTGATTCTTGCAAAACGGGACCAAAAATTACCAAAGTCTTTTAATGAATATTTTAAAAATAATGTTTGGTGTGCTGCATGCAATATACAGGCCGTAGTTTGCCCGAGGTAGAAAGCGATAAATATCTTCCCCCTCTCTCTTCCATCTTCTCTTTCTTTTATCTCACTCTTCTCTATCTTTTACACTCTCTCTCTCTCTCTCTCTCTCTCTCTCTCTGGTAAACCTCTGTCAGCAGCCCTCTCTCTTATTTTCCTTTATCTTTCTCCTTAGGCCTTCATTTTGCGGCTGCAAATTTTCTCTGTCTTCTTTGGGTTATCTCTCTGTCTGTAATAATGCCGTACCACAATCTTTTTTTAAGACAAATATGAGTCATGATAAACCTTAATTTAAATCAGCCCCCGTTTCTGCCCCCGCCACTCTCTCTGTAACAATGTTCCCATTTCCCTTCTTTCTTTCACTTCGTCTCAGCTTTCGTATCTCAAAATCCTACCCCGTCTGCGTTGTCGAGTGTCACTTTTGACTCTCCGACATCGATTTGATTTCATCAAACACTGCCATATTAAGCCATTTCGTTGAGAGCACACCATACATTCAACTCCCAATGCTCAAAAAGTGTTTCTTTGTGTATGTTTCCATGTATAGCCGGCTTCGAATATCACGCCTGTTGATACACACAATGACAGCTTAAAAATATATATATATATATATATATATATATATATATATGTGTGTGTGTGTGTGTGTGTGTGTGTGTGCGTGTAAGTATCATTTACTAAAAATAATATCGCAGTTGCACACACACACACATATATCTTATAATTACTTTTTAAAAAGTATGATTCCTTCGCTACATAAGAGTTCTCATGTTTCAAAAACGAGAGCCGAAACCATCAATATATTTATTAAAATTAAATCGAATTAAAGTAACAAGCCCTTACTTTAATTCAATTTAATTTTAATAATTATATTGATGGTTTCGGCTCTCGTTTTTGAAACATGAAAACTCTTTTGTAGCGAAGGAACCATTTTTAAAAAAAATAATTATAATCTAAGCTCTACTTCTGTATAGAATACTGTTTTTTTTTAAAATAAAAATACTAAAGAACCCTGGATTATTTACTTAACGTGTTCTTTCCTATTTTTCTATATACCTGCACACAAACACGCATACACACACGCACCCCCTATATATATATATATATATATATATATATATATATATATATATATATATATGAATGATATATATATAGCACAATAAGTTTTTAAAGATATCAGCATTTTTTTTCAAACTGTGCTAAATTTTAAATCCAGCGATAGTTAATGACTTCAGTACGAGAATCAATAATTCTTTGTACACAGCGACGAATAAAGTTTTTATTTACATTTTCTTTACGCTTATCCTTTCAAATAACCCACTAAGAGCTGGTAAACAGTAAAAAATTAACAAACCAATCAATGGATTGCTACAGTATTTTTACTAATGTTCACCCAATACAAGGCATAAGAGCTACTCAAGGTAGAGAGTTACTGTGTAGCTTTGCGTAAGAAAGGGCAAACGTTGGAAAAACTGGAGAGGAGTGTGAACCGAACGATAGGCAAACCTATCTGCCCCCGATTGGCGGAGGAGGGAAAAACAATACCAAAAGTAAAATAAATAA